CGGGGCGGGGGAGCGGGGTGGCGCGCCCCGCCGTGCCTTACGCTTGGGGCTGCTCTGGCTGTCCGGCTCCGGCACCTTCCAGTCCAGCTTGCGGCCCTTCTCGTAGAGGGCCTTCAGCACCTTGCGGAAGTCGTCGGGCTCGCTGCCGTTCTGGCTCAGCTCCAGGTACTTGCGATAGAGCTGCAGGGCTGTGCGCGCATCCTCGATGCTGTCATGCGTCTCGCCCTGAATCATCAGGTCTGGGGGGAGCATCCCGGTCAGGGAGAGCAGGAGCAGGGCTGGGCGCTCGCCCCAGCGGGGTGGTGCGAGGGCTCTCAGGGACCTCATAGGGTTGAGTTGGGGACCTGCCCACCCTGGCAGAGCCGCGGGGGGTGTCAGTGCCCTCAGTCCTGCCCACCCTGGCACCTCCCGAGGTACAGAGGAATCAGCCACTAACCCAGGAAGTACCAGGCAAGGAAGCGCAGGGAAATCATCCTCTTCCTCGGGATGTGAAACAAGTACACGGTGTCAATCACCTGGTCCTTGGGCACCTGGAAAGCAGAGAGCAGCCTGCTGCCAGGGCTCACTCTGGACGCAACCCCTGTGTGAGCACGCACGCTGTCCCGCTGTGGTGGGGCGAGACCCAAGCTGCCAGCACCCCCCGGACTCTACCTGGGGTGAACTTGCACTTTGCGCTAGTAAACAACATGCACCTCACCAGGAAACACCACAAAGTCAGGTTAGGACTGACCCGGTTCACCAGTACCACCCCTGGAGCAGCCTGGGACCTGTTCCCCTGCCCAAGATGCTGCAGGTCTCCCACCCTCCCCCCGATACACCATGCCCAGGTTTGGGGATGGGGACACAGTGCTGTCACCATGAGGTTGATGACGCGGAAGTCTTTCTGCAGCCCGTGACCCACGAACTTGACTCCCACATCAATCAGAAAGCGCAGCTTCAGGTAGGTGGATTTGAGAGTGGTGAGGTGCTTGGAGGAGATCTTGGCGTCCAGGTCTCCTGGCTTGATCCCCGAGTACTGGGTCAGGTAATCCACCACCTACGGAGAACAGGGCCTGGGGTCACGTGCTGGGAAGGCTGAGGGGCAGCTGCAGGGGTTCACCCCCCTCCCGCTTCCCCTGCCTAACAGCCAAGCCAGCCAGGGGAGGGTGCTGACATTCTCAGTTTCCTGAGGAGAAGGAGCCCCTTGGTTGAGTGGGAGGCACAGTGGGTCCGTGTCCTCCCTGCTGGGTAGGGGCCAAGTACCTGCTCCTGGGTGGAGATGTAGTCATCAATAAAGGGGACGCCTTCGTTAGGGCCCTGCCCGCGCACACATGTGATCCTGGCCACCGACATCTGGCTGGGCTTGATAGTGGACTTGGTCCCGTCACTGCGCAGCTCGGCCTCCTCCTGTGACGGAGGAGAGGAGCGCTCAGTGACTGCCAGCTCTCACAGGCAACGTGGGGTCCAGGCGTACCCAGAGGGGCTGCCCTGCTACCCTGGCACCTGTGTGCAGCACCCTGTGCCCTGCCCCGGGAAGGCCTGACCTCATTCAGCGTGACAAACTCGGCGTCCAGCCCCACCAGGTCACCCGCCTGCGGCATCTCGCTCAACATGAGGGGGATGAAGGTGGCGTGGCACTTGCGCTGCTTGCGAGCCAGGGAGGCCTCAGCCAGCAGCACGCTGGCTTCGATTGGGTTCTTGACTGCAGGAAGAGGGGAAAGGAGGTCAGCTGGGAGCTGGGTTCGCTGGCCACGCAGCCCCTTCCAGCTCAGACACTCACTGACGAGGTTGTACTTGGAGTTGAGGTTCCTCCGGGCGTAGTACAGGATAGCCGGCACCTTCCAGCTCATGTCGAACTGCACAGCCTCGCACTGCAGGGGAAGGAGGGACAGTGCAGGGGCAGGGAGAAGCCCAGTCCAGAGCTGGGTCCCTCTGTGCACAGCAAACCCTCCCTCCACAGGGTGCCTGCATCCATGGTCTCACCTTGACATATGGCCAGGGCAGGGCTCCGCTCAGCTCTGCCTGCCAGAGCCAGCCCCTCACCAACCATGGTGACAGAGCAAACGACGCTGCCCTGGCCTGGGAGCGTAGCCCCTAGCGCAGCATGCACACCAGAGTGCTTACCTTGTCCACAGGCTCAATGAGGAAGTCGTTGAAGAGGTACCACTGCTGGTGTGTGACGCCCTGGGAGGGGGGAAGGCACAGGCGCTCTAAATTAGGGCCCTCCCCCCCCAGCCAAATGCAATGACTCCTCTACTCTGTTACCAGGGAAAGATGGGCTGACAATGCCATGTGGGAACTCCCGCCCTTCCTGGGACACAGTGGGGAAATCCCTGCTGGCCTGGGTGGTGGTGGTGATGTGTAAATGAAGTGCTGTGAGGCTGGACAGAGTCTCTGCCAAACTCCTACCCAAAACTCCATAGAGATGTAACAGATAACAGACAGGGACGCAGCCCTGGCACACTGAGCACTCTGGGAATTCCTGCCTTGGGCATCTCCACCAGCTCAGAGGGAACTGCCCAGACCAGTCCCCCTTTCCTCTGGGAGGGAGATGAGGTCCCAACCCTGACCTGGAAACACAAGGACACGCTGGCAACACGCTCATGACCCAGGAGGAACTGGCCTGAGGAAGCGTGGGAAGAGCACGCCTTTAGCCCTTTCCTCTCTGTAAGCTGCATGAGAAGCACTTGGCTTCCTGGCCAAATGCTGCCTGGCGTATCTAATAAATCACTTAACAAATTCAACAGTTCAATTGACCCATTCCTGGGTCTCTTAGTAAACTACCTGATCCCCGAGCAAGCTCTGGGCAAGAACACCCCAGCAAGGCAGGACTCTTTAGGGGCAGGGCTGCTCCCAAGGGAGCCTGCAGGTATGAGAGCTTTGGGCTGGAGTGTGCCAGTCCCACAGGGCTGCTCACCTCTTTCCTTTGGTGGTAGGTCTCTCCCACTTTGATATGCCCCACCAGGCTGCCCCCCGTGCGGGAATCCAGGATATGAACGACAGTGGCCATTAGATCGTAGACATACACCGAGTCAGGGTCATCGGATGGGCTCAGCTGCAGGGAGGAACCAGCCCCAGAAGAAATGTCTGAGTCCCGCCTGACTGGGATGCCCAGAGGCAGCTCCCCAGGCCTCAAACTCAAACCCCAGAGCCTAGACATGCAGTTGCCACCAGGAGTCTAAAGGTTTCCTGGCTGGCCGTGCTGGAGACACGGGGCTCACATGAGCTGCCTCAGAGAGGGCCTCTCTTTCTCTCTCGCCCACACGCAGCCAGCAGAACGCGGTGCTGAAACAGTTCTGCTTCCACAGCCCCATGTGCATGCAACCATGTGGCCCCTGAGAGATCTCAACAGCCTTACCTCATCGCTTTCATTCCAGTTGCAGATGTCCAGCTCCTTGTTCTTGGTCAGCCTCATCTTAATGGCGTGGGGGATCCAAATGTTCTTCAGTTCCTCCACGGAAGAATATGAATGCCCCATGTCGGGGTTCCCCAGCTCCTTCCTGCCCAGAGAATCACGGAAGACCATGTTGGAAGGAATCATAGATGGCTTTCCATGTCAACCTTCTTCTGGGCAGGATCCGCACTGCCCAACCCACACATCGGTCAGTCTGTTCTTAAAAGCTCAACAGAACAGATGGGGAGAGTCAGAGCTGCACCGCTTCTCCCCAGCTGCCTAGAGAAAGGCCTGAGAAAAGGCATCAGCTCATGTTAGTCAAAGAGGGTAGATATATAGTCCTGGACCTTTTATCAGTCAGAAAAGGCAAAGGGAATGAGGGCTGAGGGCTCAAAAATGGATCATAATGGTCTCCAAATGGGTTTCAGTGCAGAGCACCCAGTTGGCACCCAAAGAGCATCACAGTCTCAGAGCACCAATGACTGCTCCAGTTTAGAGCTCACAGGAGGACAGATAAAGTCATTATCAGATGAGAAACAGCCCTGAGTTCTCCAAGGCCAGGAGGAACAAGCCAGAAGGCATCCGTGTCCACCTAGAGTCACCACCCCAAGAATGGTTACCTACCATTCTCCAAGAGAGATTTCTTTGCCTCTGGAGATCTCAAAGCCTCCTCTCTTCATCAGGGCTCTCTGAAAGGCATACTGGCAACGAAACACAGGCAAGCGTCAGCACGGAGCGAGATTCTGTGCTTGTGAACACGTGGATGGCATTCCAGACCAGCAGTGGGAAAGACAGGGACTTTAAAGCCAGCGACAGGGAGAAAGACAGCAAGGGAAACCCAACTGTTCACCAACTCTGTGTTGTGGGAAGTGGGCACTGTCTCGTTGCTCCTAGGTCCTGGGGAACTGGGGAAATGACAGAGTGATTCTACTGCAGTCCTGTCAGCTTTATCATGGCAGGAGATCTTGTCTTTTCCAACTCCAAATGCACAGCTCATGCTACAAGCATGACCAAATACCAGTATGTCCTCTGCAAACAGAGTATGGTGAGGCTTGAGTAGAGAGCAAGAGACTGCTACAGACAGTGAGATCAAAGTGAGAACACCTCCGCAGAGCAGGGCACCCAGCAAACCCTGTGTGCCCAGGGAACAAGCCTGCTTCTGCCCCAAAGTGTCTCCCCCACCTCGGCCTGTGTCTTCCAGAAATCTGCCTCCTTGGAGCTGTTCACCTCACAGTTAATGACCAGGACGTCTGGCAGACAGCGGATATTCCGGGTCTGGACCTGCAGAGAGAACAGGAGATGGAAGCAGGGCAGCACCAAGAACCCTGGAGAGGCTCTAAACTAGATTGGGCATGTGCCACCCATTCCCTCTGCCAACATCTTTGCCTATAGGGGTTCCCCCCTGCTGCCTGGCTAGGGTTCCTGATAGCTGGGGGCACTGTAACAGAGACTGGGGCCAGGAGCAGGCTCGTGCCTCTGCAGGACTGCAGGGACTATGGCGGAACAGGTGCGCTCAGCTCCCGAGGGAGTTTCCACGTGCTCCTCTCTCCCAGGGGGATTTAGCTGGGATCTGCATGACCTGCAAGCTGTGTTCCAGCACTCGCACAGCCCTGGCAGCCCAGGAAATACCCCACACCATGCCAGCTCCCACTCCAGGCTAGGAACCGAATCTCCTGCATCTGCTCAGGAGGTTCCCCACTGACTAATGGGGGAACTGCCCCACTCAGCCTGCAGCACGGGGTGCTCACGCCCTTCTCCCACACCCCCTCTGCAGCCCACAACGCATGATGTATTTGCATCCTCCTCCCAGGCTCACCGTGGGCTGGTACTTCTCACAGTTCTCACACCAGGCCTGTGTGCTTTGCTCCAAGCAGATGCTTCGCTTTAAAATCTGGGCAAATTCGTAATCTTTCACTGGCTTCTCTAAAGGGAGCAAGGAGAATAACGTCACCTTCCAACACACAGATCTTTACCAATTAAGCTCAGCCAAACCTCTGGGGTTTTCCTCACAACCACCAGGGAGAAGGTCAACCCCCAAATCTGTCTTCCTGTAACCAAAAGCTCAGCTGGCTGAAAACCCACAACCAGGCCTTGGCTGCTGGCTCTGCCACAGCCCAGGCCAGGCAACTGCAGAAACTCCTCACTGCAGGCATCTCTGTCACCTGGAGAAGTGTGGCTCATCCACAGAGATAACAGCCCCCACCCAGTCTCTCGGTCACAAGAGAAATGCAGCGGTGCTAAACACGCCAGGCCCTGCACTGCCTGCCTCCCTTTCCCTGCGCATTACCAGTGCTCTCAGGGTAGGAGAGAGTGAAGAGCAGCGTGGAGGACACACGGACAGTTTCCTTGCCGCAGCGACACATGCTGCAGTTCTCCATCTCGCAGCTGAACAGCTGCCCAATAACTGAGTCCCCCGAGGTCCCAAAGCTGCTGCAGAAAGAGAGCGCGTGGGTTAGCAGGGTCCTGGCAATCCCTGCGGAGCAGGGCTGGACGGTACGGTGGGTTGAGCATTGGGGTCCTGCACATCCCTGGTTGCACATGTGCCCTGCAGGGCCAGCACCCAAATTCCAGCAGCTCTTGGGGAACCAACCATTAGGCTGGTGGCCAGAGCCAGTGCCTCCTGCACAGCCCCTACCCCAGCCAAGCAGAAGGACTAGGCCTAGGAGGGACAGAGGTTCAGTGATCTCTCAGCACAGGATTCAAATCCAGCCATAGGGGCAGCCTGCAGCTCAGTGTGTTCCAGTGCAGCCCTTGGGGCAAACGTCGGCAGCCACCTCGGTTCAGGTACTCCCTGTACTCACCTGCTGCCAGCTCCCCGATAGGCCTGCGGTCCCTCCTGCTCCTGAGTTTCCTGGTGCAGTTGAGTGAGGATGAAACGGTTCCAGCTCTGAATCAACCGACCCAGGTTCACCTTCCCCGTGGCCTCGTCCGAGTCAGCAAGGATCAGCCCCAGAGCAGAAGCCTCTGGGATTGTGCGGAAAGCCCGCAAAAAGTTGCTTCCCTGGGGATGGGGTAAGGGTGGTATGTCACAGAGATGAAATGACAGGAGTTTCCAAACTGTCTGATGCCACCCCTGAGACCCGGCCCCACCCTGCCCCTGCTTCACTGTGGAGGAATCTCTCCAACCCACTTGTCTGCGGCATCACAAACACCACCTCAGCTCACCACCAACCTGGCAGGGGTCTCCTCTAGACAGGTCCAGCATGTGGAAGAGCAAGCCCAGCTCACAACCCAGGCAGAACTCCTTCTGGCACAGGTGGTTCTGGACCAGGCAGCGGACTGGCTCCAAGAAATACAGCACCTGGCAGAGACAGAGCAGTCAGGAGAGGTGCTGGGGGGCTGCGGCAGCCTGGGGCAGGCCTGGGATGTCTCCCACCTGGATCATGCAGTTGCAGTAAGCGTTGGGGATATGGGGCTCCAGGCCTGCGAACAGCGTCTTGTTGTAATGTTTGAAGTCAAAATCTTCCAGCCCCAGCTTGGAGTATTTGATTGTGACCTGAGCAGAAACACAGCGCGTCAAACAGAAATGCCTTCTCACACCTGCGAAACATGTTGGTGCTCCTCACAGAGAGGTGAGCAGAAGCTTTGTCCCACGTGGGTCTTTTATCTGCCCCAGTTAAGCCTGGTTTGAGGACTCACAGCCAGCCTCCTCTCCTCCCCGTGCCCCAGAGTGGCCCTGGGGAAGGCTACCTTCCTGTACTTCTTGGCCACCATGTAGAGGTGTGGCTCCTCTTCCCGCCCAATCGGGGACTCAGGGACTTGGCTGAAGCTGTCAAACTCATTGTCCAGCTCTTTTAACCGATAGGGGATCTGCAAGAGGGAAGAGAAGGGAAGAAGAGCTGAACCCTGAAGCAATCTACATGAAGCACCATGTACTGAAAAAAGCAACTCCTGGGCTTTCCTGTCTCCTCAAATGAGCAAAGGAATAAACCAGAAAGGAGCGGGGCCCTCCCTTAACCTGTATGGGGCCTCCACACCTTCCTTCTTACGAGGGACTTATCACTGTGGGAAAATACAGCAGCACTGCGGGCGAGGACGAAACACACCAGTGTTTTCCCAAGGGTGAGGGACGTGCCATAAATCTCCAAACCGGACTGCTCAAACCTTTTCCTAGCAGAGAGTGAGTTATCAATAGAACTTCACTCCTAGCCTGAGAGGGGGACTCCAACCCTTCCAAAAGGCTGGTTCACCCAGTGACACTGCTGAAGAAAAGCAGTTAAGTCCAAACCACACATCTGCCTCCTGCGATAGCCTAGGCCAGAGAGCTTTGTCTCTTACCCCTGTTCAGAGCTCTGCAGAAAGCTTTGAGGTCACTTAGCACATAGTGAGGGCTTCATCCATCCCTGAACTGCAGCCACAAAGGTGCAAGTCTCAGAGGCAGTGTGACGCTGCTACTGACAGAGGTGCCCTACGCCTGCAAAGCCGACCTCAAGATGCTCAACATCCTCCTGAGAGCAGGTACCTACCTGGTTGCGGAGCTTGGTCCGTGGGTTTGGGGCATAGCCGATGAACCCCACTTTCTTCATAGTACGCAAAATCTCAGGATCGACTGGAGGGGCTCGCCTGCAAAACACACCATGACTCGGAGGCTGCTCTGTTTGGCAGCATTATTTAACCAAGGGCCTTGCTGCATAGACACATGCTGGATTTGCTCAGGGACCCTCCAGTGGGACAGGAGGGTTGCTCCCATTCAGTCATTCCACCCAGGAACTCAGAGTGTTCCCTTTCTGTTATAACAAAATAGCTGGGCTGGGTCAGAACATGGCAGCACTGCTTGGCTCAGGAGTATTTAGGATAGAGCTCAGTCAGAGGAACAAAAAAACAGTTTTCAGATACACAGAACGTAGTCAGGATCTAACCAGTATCTCCTTATCATAAACAAGGAGGTTTGACCATACTCTGCTGTCTTCAGACCTGCCCAGTCACCACACCTCAGTGGTCAAGCTACATAACAGGGAATGTTTTGCAGGACACATGATCAGGAAAGGCTACGCCAGCTGTGTGGTGTGGGAGCTGCAGCAGTGGCCCAGCTGCTGCTCAGCACCAGAGCTTCTCTTCTGCCCCCAACCCTGCATCACCAGAGGTGACGCCCAACTGTACCCAAGACCCAGAGAAGGGGAGAATCTGTGCTGGGGTCAGCTCTCTCATACTGGGAAGAAACTGGCAAATTACCGGGGTGCAGGGGCAGAGTTGGCAGCTGGCCAGTCTGATAGCAGCGTCTCACTGGTCAGCGGCACGGGGATGAGCGAGAGCGGCATGAGGTCCTGGTTCCAGTCCAAGTGGGGCAGCGTGTCAACAATGCAGGGCAAGGCAAAGTCGGTCTCCCGAGAGTAGGCATTGAAGGTGACCTCAGGGGAGTCGGCCCAGAGGTGGACGCAACCCTCTGAGTCGCCAAACGCCAGGGCTTGCTTGCTGGCTGAGACGTCGAAGGTCATGATCAGCGGCCCAACCATGTTCACATGGAAGATGTCAGCAGGGTTGGCAAGGCCTGTGGGCTCGCAGAACTGGCACTGACCTGCGCAAGAGGGAAGGGCAGAGCGACGTGGCACCAGCGAGTACAAAGGCAGGTCAGCAGCGAACAGAGTAATCCAAGCACACTTCTCACTTACAGAGCCATTTGAACCAGCTGGACCCGGATCGAGAGTGCTCGGACAACTATATCCCACCAGAATTTGAACCTGAGCCTGGAGGGTGCTGAGACTGTCACCCAATTCTCACCGGAAGAGCAGAGCCCAGCCAGGCTGGGGAACGCAGCTTCACCCACCTGTCTGGGAGATGATGGCCAGGCGGGAGGTGTAGGTGGGGATGAAGCGGAGGAAGAAGGGGTCAATGTGGACCTGCAGCGGGGTGGTGGCCCGCATCATGCGCAGGTCGTACACCTTAAGGAAGCGGTCGCAGGCCAAGCCGTTCATCCGGCTGGAGAAGCCACAGGTCACCAGCAGGTTGCCATGGACATCAAAATCAGACAAGCTGCCCGAGTATGCATCAAATTCATGCTCCACCACAAATGTGCGCAGATCCCGCAAGGAGACCTGGGAAGGCAAGGCGGGGTGCTGGGTACCACATGGAGCCACTGAAGCTCCAGGAAAAGCCAGACATCGACTTCAGGGTATCTCAGAGAGAAGCAGAGTGTCAGCAGGGCTGCCAGCTAGGCTGCGGCCGGCATTACCTTCCCCGAGGTATGTCCGCAGAAGAAGAAGCGGTTTGACTGCCTCATGATGGTGATGCCAGGTACCTCCACAGTATACTGGGAAAGACGCAGAACAGCAGGGTGAGCGGGGCAGAGCACCAGAACGAAGCACCCTCCCCAGCCTGTTGTGTCACACACAGCCAGGCCTGACCCACACCTCCCACTGATACTGGAAGTGGAGAGGGCTCTTCATCCTGCGGGACACAGCCCTCAAGCCAGGCAGCAGAGCCAGAAGCAATCTCAAGACTGGCCATACCTTCTGTGTCTCCTGGACAGTGTTGAGGTCTATCTCGATCACGTGGTTCTGCAGCCCGCCAACAAGCAGAGTGCTGGTGTCTGTGAGCAGGAGACTGTGCATGTCCTCAGAGTCATCCATGCTGCAGGAGAGGGGAAAGGACAGGCCTCGTGCTCCTGCTCACTCAGAGATGTGTCAGGGAAGGGGGCTGAAAGCCTACCCTCATCCTCCTCACAGATCTAGCTTTTAAACTGCAGGCAGAGGGGCCAGGACCATCTCTACCCATGAGCAAACAGGACCACGACTGCAACTGCTTGCTCTCCCCCAGCACAGGGCCAGCGTGACCCACCTGCTGCCAGAGCAAAACACTCACAGGTAGTCAAAGATGATGAGGCCACCTCGTGACATATACTTCAGGTTGTTTTTGGTCAGGAAAAGGATGCCGTTCTCCAGACTCTGGATCTGGCGGATGTCATCGCTGCTGTTCACTTGGAAGGAGGAATACCGCTCCAGCGTCGGACCGAAAAACGAGGTGGCGTGGCCCTAAAGCCAGCCCAGGACAGACTTGTCAACATGCAGTAACACTCACCTCGGCTTTACTTGAGTGTGACACAAAGCCACGCTGAGCTGCTCTACCTCCCAGGCTCCTACCGCTCAGGACAGGTTACCAGCTACCTTACTGCTTCAGCCAACTTATGGACAGGGTTTCCTCTGTTACATACCCTGCTGCCTCCCTTTATCCCCAAAACGGTGGTAAATTGTTCAGACTTTTCATTTTTAGGCAGATACACATGGACACGAGGAAAGAACCAAAAGCTCTACTAGCCCAACAGTTCAGGACAGCAAAGCTGCTCGGGAAACACCTACAGGGTCTTTTGTAGCCAGATACATCCGATTGCTTCCTGCGCTCCTAAACAGCTACATATCGACCATCTCCAGCCAGAAACTCTGCATTAAAATAGCACAACTCCCAGTTTCCGAGCAGGACTCCCTAGCTCGGGCTCAGTTCTTAGCAGAACCACTCTCTGTGTTCAAAGCCAGCTTGCCCCCAGCTGGTCAGAGCGAGCAGGTGTCGGGCTGCAGTATCTGCATTGACAACCGAGAACCTATGCAATGACCCTCCCTTCCCCGTTCCCGAGGCAGCTTGGAGACACCTACCCCATGATTCCCAACCCACAGCATTTCTTCATGCAAGTCAAAATGGGAGACGGAGACAGGCACGCCCACTTCGGAGATGGCAGTGTGCAGCTCGGTGTACATGCCCTCCATGATGTGCACTGACTCTGGCACTGCGATACCCTCTAAAGGCACCCCCTCGGGATCCAGCTCGACGTTCTGCAGCAAGCTGGGGTTGAGGTGGGGGTCCAGGACGGGGTCCAGTGCAGGGTGGAGGGTGGGAGCATACTCAGCAAGGGAGGGGTCGAGACCTTCAAAATTCATGGTGAAAACCAACGTCTCCCTTTAAAACAGAAAAGGAACTAAGTAGGTCAGCCAGAAACACCAGGGCCCCCCAATTCTTAGAAATTTCTGTGCAAACACTGTGACTACAAGCAATGGAAAAAGCTGCTGGAATCTCCGGCGAGGGTAAGGTACATCTCTCCCAGCCGTGGACAGCGACAACATCGAGCCCACACATGCAGCGGAC